CCGTGCATCAGCTTGACCTTCTGCAGGACCTCCTGGCACGCCTTCTTGGCCACCTCGGGGTCGATGAGCAGGCCCAGCTCGCCCAGCCCCTCCGAGATGACGTCCAGGGGCGGGCTGCCCCCCCGCGGGCTCTCGCTGCCGGCCTCGGAGGAGGAGGAGGAGGAGGAGGAGGAGGAGGCGGGGCTCGGCTGCAGCTGGTCCCCCGGGGCTGGGGCTGGGGCCAGCTCCACGCCCACGTCCCCCATGATTGATCCAACGGAGGCCACTGAAACAGAGAGAGAGAGAAAGAGAAGAAGCCAGTTAGGAAGGAGGTCGGGTTACAAGCAGAGGGATCGGATTCGGGGACACGGGGGCACGTGCTGCTGTCAGGCCATCGTGAACCCCAACAAGACCGGGGGCTCTGCGGGACCCCAAGGTACGAGCCGCCACCACCGGGAGGCCGGTCAATGGCGACGGTCACCTCATTTAACACCAGGCTCACCAAAACACAGAAATGTGTCTGTCGGTAATTCCAATGTGCTGCCGAGCCCGAGCCCGAGCGTGCTCCCGACTCGGGATGGCAGCCCACAGACGGGCAGGGGCGCCCCCCCCCCCTCATCTCCCGTGTCCTTCTTTTCCGCTTCCGATTTCGGCCGACAGGAGCGGTCAAACCTGATTGGTTTTAAAAAAACCTGCCTCGAACCCGTTCGCTGAGCTCCCTCCCCTCACCCTGGTGCCGACTGCACGGCAAGAGCGCGCCCCCCCCCCCCATCGGTCAGCCACCCGCAAACAGTTAACTGAAACACACGGCTTGAAACCTCAGGGGGCATCAAACTGTGCACTGCGCCCCTGTGCAATAACTCCCGATTGGGGTGGCTGGCCCCGATACCGAGACGGGCCAGCTGGGGGATTGGGGGGACGATTGCAAGGCGCCCGCCTTCGTGTTCCTGTGGGTCGCCGCCTCCCTGGGCCCCGAGCTCGATGACGCACGGCCGAACACGCTTGCGTTAAGAGGTACACGCACCCCGACTGCAATCGGACAACGAGCCCCCCGGTGTGATCTGAAGAACACAAAAGCATGACGCAAAACGAGAAAATATTTACCCGCTGCACAGTAATCAGGATGCTCCGTGCTCTGTTCCTGCAAGGGAAGTAAACTGAGAGGCCCTACTTCTCATACTGTTGCGTACCCATGCAATCTGATCCCAGATCTATTCTT